CCCACTTATTAATCATCACCATTTTCCACCGAGTGCAAGTATTTCCATCAGATGATCGATTTGAATTGGCCAGATCACGTTGATCAACTTTGCCTCTGTTATTGTCGTGTTCGCTTTCAGCTCTTGCATTATGAACAAATACGTTTCGCTGGAATACGTATGTATGTATGTATGAATAGAAACGATTCGATTCAGTGCAGAGCATAAATTGCAGATGAATACAACAAAAATTATTTATTGCTTTGTGTATGCTTTCAACATCGAACAATTTTACTAGTCGGCTAATCAATCCTGGTAAAGTGCTCTGTAACTAACCACTGAATCATAACCATAGTCGGAATAGTCGCCGAGCCGATAGAATTTGCACATAGCAAACAAACTGGATAAATATTATTATGAGAAGCGTTGTATTTTCGTTTCCACTTGGTACATTTTGCTTTTTTCACGATTTCTATTATGGATTCGCATCGCAACCAATGTAACGTACAATAGAGCAGCTAATAGCAACAGAACAACGAGCACAGCCAAAACCGCCAGCTCTATATGAAACATCTTTGCTTCAGCCCAGCCTTCTCATCTAGTCAGTCTCTCATTTCAACGATAAACTGATGAAGACGTCTTAGGCTTGGGATCAGTGACGAGACAACATATCGTCCTGATCTAATGATGCTACTTCAAAATAGCTAACATCTAAAACACTGATATCGTTTGCAGCAGTACGACTGTAGAGTAGCAACTGAAATATTAGATAATATCAGTCAAAAAGCACCAAGTATGAAGGATTACAATAATAATAATAATAATAGTAATAATAACAGTAATGAATATCACACTTCAAATAGCAACAACACCGAATCAAGTATTACAGTTCAACAATAACTGAAGTATTAGTTAATTTAGGGTTGATTATTAAGGAATAGAAGAAGGTGCACGCTCAGATGAAAACGATTGTTTGAATGCGTAGCAGGCAGGCGTTGTCACTGTGGTGCTATTGATGACAATGAGCAGCTAGTAACTAAATGGTTGCTGCTGCAAGCATTGTTGGTTCGTATGCAGCAAAATACTTGACTGATTGACTATTGAACGGGTGGTGGAAGAAGAAAGGGTCTTTCGTTGCTGGATGCATGGATAATACATGCATGGATACATAGACGGACGATACATAGATAGTAGAGGCGGTTGCTTGGTTGGTTGGTTGGTTGGTTGGTTGGTTAGGCTAATCGGGTCGCAAAAGTGAGCACGATTGTTATCAATGGCTTAGCAGTAGCCGTATGGCAGGCATACCCTTGGTTGCCCAATATGGCCTGGCCTACTGCAGTCTAGTTTCTTAGTGGGCTGTTGCTGCTGCTTCTATACATACCTCTTTTCGTCATTCAGTAATACTCATGCATTGTATTTGTTACTATACACTACTCGAATCACTGACTTACTACTACTGACTGATCGCGTTCTGTTGAACTTGGTCGATTGTTGATACGAAAACTTCATTCTACCGTTAGATGCCGTCCGCCTGCTTGCTGACTTATCCGCTTGATTAGGCCTCCATTTTGGCCCTGTTCATTTGCTAGGCTTCTAGAGACTCGATACGGAAAAAAACGTCCAAAATTGCTTTGCTACAACCGGCTGCTTGCATCTATCTCAGAACGCACTTGACTTGACTGTCAACAACTATTATACTTTCACTTCAAACAACAACAACAACATCAAACCAATTACTCTTCATTTTATAGTCTCTGAAGTGAAGTGAAGCTTGAAGAAAGCTTCTGCAGACAAACACAAACACAATAGTGAAACTAGATGGCCATATGCAAGCAACATTTCAAGAAGTGAATCAATCATCTTCAATGAAATATTACCTGAATTTATAACAGTTGCTGCTGCAGTTCAGCGATCGTTGTTTGCTTGTTTTTTATTCAATATTTGCTAGTTTATAATGATTATTCGCTAGATATCATTCCATAAATGTTTACTTGCTTAATATATCGATGAAGAAGTTTGCGATATTATTTATACCAATATAGATATGCATATTTGAAGAGATAAATATTCATTTAATTGAGCATCAGATACTTGTTCGATGCAAACCATTCGACGTGTTCGTTTAGAAATCTGTGCTTTAAACAACTCGACATCGTTGGTTACTCAAAAGAAAACTAATTAAGAGGCATTCATATTGAAGTTAGCACAAGTAAAAGCTTCAAAAACAGAAGCATCAAACAACAAACTAACCACCACATTTCAGTCCAAGTGAATACCTTATTTAATGGATTCGTCACGAGCAAATATTACATCCACCATATCATTTATCATCATTCATCAATACATCTCATCATAACAAATAATATAATAATCGCTTCCAGAATGATCAGGATAGCAGCATAATATATCTATCTATCGTATAATGTCCCATTATCATACCATACCATAGCATATGAGTCCTAAAGATCGGGACTGACCAATGTTCAATATGAATCGCATAACAAATAACCATGATGATAACACATCAATGATATTGATAAATGATTCTGATAGGGATAACACCATATACGTATAACGATTAGCGGATCTCAGTGATAATCATCAAACAATTGCTGTGAATCAAACCATAATAAAAAATCACCAAGCTATTTCTTCAACAACGTCACACTAACTGCTTTACGTTCAAATGAACGTACAGAATAATCAATCGAGCAAACAGATCAACTTGATCACTGCTGCCGCTGCTGACTACATGCAAAGAAACAGAAGAAATACTCTAGCAAAATAAACGAACGCATAATCAGTAACTAGACACACCGGATAGTAGTTGCAAGATGTACTGATGAATAATTACTGGCTAGAGGGATGGATGGATGGATGGATGTTTGTCAGCTATATGTATATCTATGTTTTAAAGACAAACATCAACCAAAGCATTATTATTCAAATGAAAATAATAAAGAGAGAAGTGAAAATCAAACAATCTAAATGAATCAGCGATTCTTAAAAAATGCTTCCTCACTCAAATACAATAACACACGCACAACAAACCAAAAACAAAAAACGACGAATCATATCAAAAGTAAGTCACAAAGCACATCACAGTTATATATCCTTCAAAAACGAAGACACTAATATCAAAACATTTGTAAGTGTAATGAATGCAACAAGTGAAATTATTGCTGTTTAGATGGAGGATTAATTGATTACTTTCACGCTGAGAATAACGCATGGATTTTTGGGTGAAGTGAATAATCATCTTAGAAAGAAACGAGCAGGATTAACCAAGAAACAACAACGAATGAAAACAATCTCGGTAACAACAACAGTGAATAGTAACAATGGCTGGTAATCATTATTCAGATCAGTTTGCGAGGATAACGTTTAGATTAGCTGCAGACAGCAGAGCACCTTCCGCATCCGATCATCACTTAATAAGAACGTGTCGTGGCAGTTGAACTGGCATCACCGACAATAGACTATTACTATTGTTGATTATAAAGTGACAATATTAATAATATAACATAATATAATACTAATAATAATAAACGAAATACCTTGCATAAATATTCCATATAGTTTCCGTATTAAATAAAGCTCATATGCACGTGCACGTACAAGTCAAAATGTTATATGAAATAGGCATCTGTAGCTCTAGCTGTCGCTATTATCAATGATCATAAATGTGATTAGTCATAAGCTGTTACTATAAGATTATCCACGTTATATCCACTATAAGATTATCCACGTAATATCCACTATAAGATTATCCACGTAATATCCCCTATAAGATTATCCACCCCAACGTATAAACCATAAAATAACTACTACCATTCAAAATCGTACGGCATTTCTCAAATAAAAATGTACAGCAAAAAGATGCACGGACGGACGGCTGCTGTATGAAAAGAAACGAATCTAGCCATCATTTTCCTCAAATAATATCCATTCCATCGAAATGATTCCGAGCGCACTAGAGCTCACACGGACAACTCTCGCCGCACTAAAATTTTCATCCATCGTAAAAATGCCTTCTAAAAATCTCGAAAGCAACAAAACAAGCGAAATTGCAAATTGTCGCCCACAACAAATGATTTATTTCATTCTAGATTGGATGATAGTCATCAGTCAGAATATGCAATCGCTCACAATCTAGATCGTCGCAATTTCAGTTGCAATCTTCTATCGTCAACGAGTGCAAACAAATGCAAACCATTCGAACAAAAAAAAAAAACCAACGATGAGAACGTTGCAAACAAAACAAGCATTAAGAATTACCTAAATTTCAAATCCATTCGCGATAATGCGCTTCGTAGAATAGAATAATAGCGAATCTCAATGGCACATCCACTGATAAGATAACAAGATCATCGAGCTAATCCCACAATCACTCAAATCTACCAACAAATCCCCATTCAAAACTACTAATCAACCCACAACACTAACCCTATCTATCAGCATCACAACCACTCGCAACGTCCCCATACCATTCAATAATGTTACTTACTATTGTTCATCGTTGTTTCACTAACTATTGTTGCTTTCTATTATCGCTGTACAACAGCAGTCATACTGCAGCAGTCAAATCAAACTACGGTAATCGAGCAGAAGTAAATAAATTTCAAATTGATCGCTAACAACAGAAGCCGCAAATACGTGCGTTCCTCAACGACTGGATATAATAATCACGAATCTGGCATTGCAAATAACCAAATAATTAATCAGTCAATTAAGCAATCACCAGCTAAATTTTCGAGCAATTGTCTCTTAAGAAGAAGGCTGACAAAGAGAGACAGACGACGTAATCTTGATGATCACACACACACACATAATACAGCATATTCAATGCACTTAAATTGAGTCAGTAACACAATATGATAAGGCCCAAGCGAACTAACAGTAAAAGAAAGTGTTGACGATATAAGTGACGATAATTATCAAACAATATTAGTAGTAATAATAATGAACACTAGAAAATAAAGGTGAGTGGATGAAGCACAAAGCGTGAATAATGTGCACAATTATGCGGTGGTGGTGGTGTCGTCGTCCTCACGAAGACGATCCGTATCGTTTGCAGCTGTTGTTTCGTCGGCATTATTCTTAGTGCTCGTACCACTGTTCAACGGAGTCATCTCTTGTCCATCTGTTGCGTGCGCTCGACGAGCTCGTCTTCTGAACAGCACTAGCATTCAAAATTTATTTGTTGAAATTTCTTTCATTCGCTATTCAAGCCGAACAAAAAAATTCTTAATTAAAGAATTTAATTGAATGCGAAAAAAAAACAAACAACAAAACGATAACTTCTTCAGAATTCTTTTTTCTTCAAATGGTTTTGTTTGACACAATTGATCCATCGATCGATCGATCGCTTGAGTGAATTCAAAATTGAGAACGTTATTCAAAAAGTTGATTAGCTTGAATATTGAAAAAAATTTAAAAGTTCAAAAAAGTCAATTCAAAATCATCATCAGAACTTCTTCAGTTGAATGCAGCAGGCAGCATACGTTGGTCATTGAATTGAAGTAATTTCAAAACACACACACATACTCTTTCTAGAAATGTCACTGTTTTAGAAATTTGATGAAATGAAACAAGAAATTAGACAAATAAATGAAAACAAACGTGTTCACCTTCGATCGTTGATTAATTTGTAGACGACCGCAGCGATAATTGAAGCCGTTATAAGTCCGGCTAACGTCACCAACCACCACGGAACACCGGCCACTTCTTTGCTTTCTGAATTGTCTCCGTCCGCTGGCTCTTTGATACGCTTAATCTTTTGATTCTTTCGTTCACTTGTCGCATAGTCATCAGTGTATGGTTTCTTCGATGAAGTCTTTTCTGACGGCGGTGGTGGTGTAATCCGAATTGTTGTTGATTTATGACGGCGATCAGCCACTCCTTCTTCATCAATATAACGAGCACCAACTGACGACATCTCGTCTTCCTCTTGCCCTTGTGAAACCGTACTACTACTCAAAATACTCTCAACCAATTTTCGTAACGTTGTTCGTTGCGTTGAATCTTCGAATGCTTGATATTGAGTGGTGCCACTCTTCGATTCGAGATCATGATCATCGTCAACACGTTCAGCACCTACACTTGAATGATCCTCTTGATCAACTATTGCTGCTTCTGATGTTGTTCTACTACTATCCTCTAGTTGGCTCTCGATAAATTCTACACCATCTGGATAAAGCTGCTGCTCATCTAAAGAAGCATTCATTGGCGACACAATATCGTCGTCTATTTTCTGCAGTTTTTCTTCTTCTTCTTCTTCAGATCCTTCCATTATGCCATGATGATGATCACTTTCAACTGGAATTGGCCTACCTTCCGACTTAATCTCCTCTTCTCCAAATTCCTTTTCTTTGACGAGTAATTCGTCTTCTGCACCGATTTGTCCTTCTTCTTGAATTGCATCTGTTAATCCTTCTCCTTGTTCATCCATATACTTTTCGGTTGACGAATGCTCGTCCTCCATTGTTGTCATCATCATTTCTTCAGCACTTTCACCTTCAGCCACCAACAAGCCCTTAGACGACGGCGACGACGACGACGATTCCTCATCAACAGCTTTCATTTGCAACTCATCAACGACTGGCTTCTTCAAATGCTCCTCAATATGTTTTGGATGATGTTCATATTTTTCCAACAACGCCGCTTCATCATCATGAACGTGCTTCTTCTCTTCATCAACTTCTTGCTCGGCTTCTGTAGCTGTAATTTCAGCACTGCTTACGAAGCCATCATCGTCATCACTTCTATTCGATGCTTGCCCTTGCCCACTCACATTCGCCAGTTTCACTTCGAAATGCTTCAAGTCCATCGCCTCTGAATGCTCATCTTCGAGCCTATCATTTTCGCCACTCATTTCTTCATGCTCACTTTCTTCTTCTTCTGGTCGCAATGCTTCTTCAATCTTCTCAGCAGCATCCTTCGTCTCATCAATACTAGTTGTTGCTGTTGTTACCGCTAATTCATCTAGAGAATCATCAGAATCCTTGCCCTCACCAAGTTCAGCAGCTTTTTCTAATAACACTACCTGACCATCGTCAGAATCATTCTTGAGTTTTGATATTTCAGTTACTGATGGCATCGGCTCTTCAACTGCTTCATTTAATTGCTCTTCTTCGGCGTGTTCCTCTGGATATTCTTCTTTTTCGTGATCACCTTCATCTTCGTTTGCCTCATCACTTCTATCCGACTCTTCATTGATCTTCAAAATTTTTATTTCCGTCTCTTCAGTCGTTTCATCATCAGCAATGGCAGCTTCAGTGGTTGTAAAACCATCAGTTTCCTCCAATTCCTCTGCAACTGTCATACCAGTTGAATGCAAACCATCGTCCGACTCAGTTACTGATGCCACTTCCTCAGTTGTTTTTCCCTCACCTTCCACCAACGCTCTACTCGATTCAGATTCATCCTCATGATGTATTTCTACGGGATGAGAGTAATTAACGTGCTCTTCAGGTGCTACTTCAACCGCTTCATCTGTTTCTGTCTTGTTCTCGTGCTTACAACATTCTGCTCCTGCTTCATCTTCCCTTTCTTCAGTCTCCTTCACAGTTTCACTCTCTCCCAAATGTTCCGTTTTTTCTTCTTGCTCGTTTTCTCGCTCACCAACTAGCTCTGCTTCTTCAATATTTTCTTCGTGTTCAAAGGGAACATGTTCATCAGCCACTACTGAGCCAGTATTATCGAAATCCTCATCGTATGGCGATAATAAATGCTCCCTAACATTACTCTCACTATCATCCGATAACGACTCGTCTAGAGTATGATCTTCGTCATCGACATCATCCCCTTCGAATTGATCTGCTGCTGCTGCTGCTATATGGTCCTCGCCAATCAACGCCTCCTCTGGTAATGGCTCGCTTTCGTGTTCACTAATTACAGCTCCAGATTCTGTAGTTGTATCTGCGCTTGATAGAGTTGCAGCTATTGTTGAACTGACCTCGGTCGTCGGCTTCTCGCTATCAGACGCTTCGGTGACGACAGTTTCGCTGCTTTCGCTATCACTACTGGTAGTTGCACTCTCAGATTCGCTCGTCGTTGATTGCGATGGCTCTGATCCGTTTTCTTGATCAGTTTCGTCCGCTTTCACAGTATCCGACTCCTCATCACCGTCCAATTTTGATTCGAGCTGATCTCTGAGAATTTCTTCAAATGGCTCCAACAGGTGAACTTCTTCCACTTGTTGCTTGCTCGCATTAGCTTTTTGTTTCAACTCCTCTTCATCGACTACTTCTTCGTGTTGATCCTCCTCATGCTTGCTCTCGGCTTCGGTGGTGTGTTCATCCTCTAAGTCTCCTTCTGCTTCATCACTCACTACAGTCACCATCACATCGTGCTCAAGCTCTCCGTCATCATGTTCATCACCATGCGACAATTGCTCGTCAGTTTCATTTTGCTCTAAAGAATGCTCCTCATCAGTCGACTGTACCACGCCTGGCTCGAACTTTAATACGCTTATCTCCTCCTCTGCTTCGGTTGATGGCGACTGCGATTCGATTGTGCTTGACGGGATGGGTAGTGTTGTGAACTCGCCTGATGTCCACATCATTAAACGTGATCGAAGCAAACTTTCCGATTTGCCGTTGCATATCGGATTCTCACAACAGCACACGAACTGAAAGCAGCAATTACCTCTATCAATATAACCACCTGCATCTGAATCATTTTCAAGAACCATTCGTACCGCTTAGTCGAATTAATTCGTTTTATGCGAATTCAAAGGGTGAATAAAATTCAGATGAGAATCAACTGTTATAGGACATTAAAATTGTAAAAATTCGATAAAAACAACGCACGCACAAACAACAATACAGATGACACAATGCATAAAATGAATTAAATAATGAGACGAGATCCAAAATAATAAGTTTGCCAAATGAATATTGTTGATAGAAGATGAGAAAGTCAAATAAATGAGCTAAGAGAAAGTAATGATAAAACAACCTGATCGTTATGCATAAAGCATCCTGGCTCGATACACTGCTCTTTGTTGGCGCATCCGCTTTGAATTGTATCCTTAAACAAGTCAAATTTTAATTAACAAGACCAACAACCAAATTAATTATTAGATTATCAGTTTCGGCTTTGATTCATTCACTTCAATTGGCTATTAGATTAGAATTGAAATAACTGATTTGTAACGTCCACCAATCATTCATTTCAAATTGTGCATACAAATCGCACCTGTTTCAAGTCGATCGCATCGTAACATAATCGTGTTTCACACGCCGAATCCAACTGACCCGCACAAACAAACGATTCAGCCTAAATTTTATCATAAACACTCAGTCATAACTATAAAAACTATCGTAAAATTATAATAATTAGAATAATAATGATAATAAAAATAATAATAATAACAATAATAATAATAATAATGAGAAAATTATATGAACAGTCACTCTCTGAACAGAACAGCTCTAAAGAGCCAGTCAGCGCTCTAAAGTAAACAAAAATAAAAAATAAAAACGGATTATATCAGACGACGGCATGATGATATCAGAATGCATCATCCAAGGATGCACCTCTTAATCTACTTTCAGCGTTATTCATACAAATCATAAACCCAACATACACCCAACCCAAGCAATCGAATGCACAATCAAACCGGAAACCACTCTCCTCATCAACTTTTTCCCCAACTTCTAAACCAGAGACAACAAACAAACAAACAAAAAAACGTTTGCATTCTTCGTTTTTTTTCAACAATTACTCATCATCAAATTCGTTTCGCTTTTCAGATGCAACAAAAATTTCACTTCTTCATACAATTTCCGAATGAATTTCAATTGTTGAATTAGTGCTGATGATGATGCAGCAGCAGGCTAGGCACAAGACAATTCACTGACGACTCACTGCTCACGTATGCAAATAAAAATTTTATCATTTCATTCATTCTATTTAAACACCGACTCGTTTGTACTTCTTCTTTCTGCAAATCTCGACGACAAAATTATTCAATCACATCACTCTGCAGCAGCAATATCCCTTCTCTCTCTCTCAAAGTAGAATAATAAATTCCAAGACTTAAAATATTCTTTAATACCATCAGATTTTTTTTTGTCACAAAACGAGTAATGGCTCAGACACATCATCAGATGAATAAAACAAATAAATAAACACACCACAACTTCAACAAGCCAAACCCCGTCCAACAACTCAAACCTTCAAATGTTGCTAAAAATTCAACCGAATCAAACAAAATTATCGTCAAATCAAAACAATTACGACACCACGCTTCAGTAACCGTTTACCTTTCAAAATGCCCGCACCAAAAATTTCCTTCCTTCCGTCTAGTTTCATGTTTCGTTGCAATGCAGCACTCTTTGCACATTTCAATCTCCCCGTCAGTCAGTCAGTCATTTATTGTTATTGACTAAAACACATGTCCTATATAAATACATCCATTATCAATTACTCATCCAAATTCTTTTCCACTTACCAGTTATGGATAGACATCTGTCTATTCAGTTACCTGATTATTCATTTCATTTTCCACTTTAAAACTATTTGCTCACCATCCACACCGTCAGCACATACGTACGTAAATGATTAAAAGCACGCACATACAAACACATCAGAGAACATTTGCTTTTAAGGCGACAATTAACAGAACAAACAAAAAACAAATTCACCTCTCAAAATATCATTTTAACCGTCGTCGCCGCGCCGCTTTATCACTTCAATTTTTTTCGCATAATTTTATAACCAAAAGCAAACAGTGATTGACTTCAATCCATCCATCATTTATAATACATAAATACACGTTTCAATTTTCATTCCGTTTCAGTCTCAATACAAATCAATTCTATACTATATATTCGAATTCCTTCACTAAAAAAATAAAAACAACTCTGATTTCCTTTCAAAACAAGCACTCCTCAAAACATTCACTGCATATAATGAGCGGCGTAACTATGCAGTAGTTAGAGTATACAACAAACTATTTTCTATACTCTTATAATAACCATAAACTACTTTTGAGGAGAGCAAAAAATTTTTATGACTAACTGAGAATCGCACTCAGAATTGATTCTATCAGTGATTATTGATGAGATAGATTCATCAGAAAACTTGAAATACTCTCTGAATCACAACCATCGCATAGATAGATAATTGGGTGACTAACTGACGACGACTGACTACTGTTCAACTAGCTGATTGTAATTATGAAATGTTGTCGTCTTGTCCCGTCCCGTCCCGTCTCGTCTTCGGTTCGTTGATGAATTTATTTCAAATCTTGTTCCTCCCTTCTCAATTCGCACACGAATAATCAACAACGAATGCTCGCTCGCTCGCTCTTGCATACTGCTACTCAAAATAGTTTTCTTAAATTCACTTCACTTCTCTACACAATAATGCGAATGCAATCACCTATTTCTAACCAATAAACAATTCCTTCTCACCATCCATTTCTTTACTATCACCTCAAAAAAATAATAATCTCAAATTGCAATTCAACTTGTAATTATGACCATCATAATGAATC